ATGGGTTTAAGAATACCAATATTTTATATACTAATTATGTCATTGGTAGCTGTAAATATTTAAATTTAACACAGAGACACTTAAGCATGGAAAAAAAAACATCTAAATAAAATACACTAAGGTTGAATTTGTTAGCATTCGAATCAAAGGTTCAGGTTTCTGATGAACAGGTAGCAAAGCTTTGGAAATACTGCCCTCATGAGTCTGAGGATCAAATCAGTTGTATCTCAGGACATATTCGTCTGGGACGTCTGGGTATTATATTATCAGGAACGTTAAGGATAAAGTTAGATTATTTCACTGACGAGCATAAAATTAATCTGAATTCAATAAGAGACTAAACCAAAAATACACTTTATCACCAACTATACGTGTTTTTAAGAAGCAGTTGTCAAATATAGCACTTACCGAATGTAGAAGATGCCGTGGTTTTCGGTTCTGTAAAATGCCCATTGCAGGGTACTTTGCTGTATCTTAATTAATGTCTGAGGACAAATATAACAAGGGTTCTGTACGACGTCACAACAATGGAAGGCACATTTTACCTGTGGTTATTTTTATCTTCACTCAAGTGACACAACCAAATTTGATATGGCAATGTGGTAATACTGCCAAATGACCACACAATTTAATTCTACTATGAAAAAAATAAATCACAGAAGACAGGAACGTTACACATGATACACGAACTAGATGGAAATTCCAACATGTTTTGAATCTGATTTTAAAAATAGCTCCTAGCAAGCTGGAATTCTGTTTAGACCCCACAATCCCTATCAAGTCGTTACGTTTATTTCTGTTTCTTCTATTTTTATTTTTGTTAATAAAAATGCGAGATATTGTAGCTCACAATTGTCAGAAGTAACCAAAATACTTGATTTAGTGTTTCATAAATCCATTAGAATATAACGTGAAAGTAAACATTATATTCTTAGACGTACATTCAAATTCAATAAAGGGCAATTAATAAGATAAATTTAACATATAATAAAATTAAATAACACTGAAAAATGTCTTTCACATTCCACGCATCTCGTATGATTATATTTTTAGAAAAAAATGTTGACTTGGGTTTTTAATACTGAGTCAGGAAAGGAGGCAGTGTGGTAATTAATGGGCCTGCGCTTCTTATAGAGCATCCCTGGGGACGGGCTACCTACTGTACTTCGTGGACACAGAAAACACTTTAGATCAGGTGTCTCCAAACCTGATTTTGCAAAGCTCGGTGTCGCAGGAAGCCGGAGCCTACCCGGCAAGCAACGAGCACAAGACAGGGTTCATCCTGGACGGGGCGCCAATCCATCGCAGGACAAGTGCAACCCAATCATACATGGAGACAATATGGAGGAGGGGGGATATGGCCCAGACACCGGGATTAACCCCTTGCTCTTACCAAGAAATGTCCGTGGATCTTTAATGACCACTGAGAGTCAGGACCTCAGTTTAACGAAAGACGCCACCCACTACAGTATAGTGTCCCCGCGACTATACCAGGGCATTAGGACCCACAAAGACCGAAGGGTGGGCGCCCCCTGCTGGTCCCACCAACACCACTTCCAGCAGCAACCATAGCTTCCCAGGAGGTCTCCCATCCAGGTACTGACCAGAGTCAACCCTGCCTAGCTTCAATAGGTAGCCAGTTGAGAGCTGCAGGGTGATATGTATTATTGTATTGAAGTACTAATAAGGTGTCCACTTTTTGGAAAGTGAATATTTGTGAGCAAACCTTGCTCACACTGCACACTATTAGGGGTAAAAGGAGTTAAATGCCAGCTAAACTGGAGAAAAATCAATAAACAAAATGTTAAGTATTCACTAGCATTTGCTATAAAAAATAAAATAGTTCCTGTGCACTTAACTTGGACAGTTCATGACTGACTGAATTAACCTCAGTGTGCAGTAATAGTGGTTCACATGATTTCAAAATAAATACACCTCTGTAATCACCATCAGTTAGCTCAAGCAAAGATTCAACTATGAAGACCAGGGAGCTTTCAAAGCAGCTTAGGGATAAAGTTGTCGAAAAGCACAGAACAGGAGAAGGGTAATAAAAAAATTGCAGAGATACCATCACTTTAAGCATGGTGATGTCAGTCATTAAGAATTAGAAGATACCCAGGGACTGCCTAGATCAAGCTGTGCCTCCAAAAGAAGTCAGGATGAAACTGGTAAGGGATGCACCTGTGAGGCTAACATTAAATAGCTACAAAGTTCAATGGCTGAGAGGGGTGGAAAATGAGTCAATATCCCAGTCACTCTGAAAAACTCAGTTATAGCAACTGGCAAAAAAATCATATTCCTTCATGGAGTTAACCACAAAGAAATCAATTGATACAACAGACACGGATGCAAAAGCTGCACTATGCTAGTGTGCAACACTGATACAGAATACTCATTGGATCAGTATTTAGATTTTTGATTTGCAGGTTTTGCACACCTACATTTTACCCATTTATGTAGAGCATTTGGGTTTTGATTAAGAAATATTCTAAAAAATCTGTGCACTCTTACGAGACACTATATGGAGCCTCTAAATAATGACTAAAGATTTGTAATTATTTTACTAATAGCTTAGTATTTACAAATAACATCAACACAAAATAGAACAGAAGTTCTTGACAAGTTTTCTTCACTGAATCAATTGCACACTTACCTGTAACTGATCAGTAAAATACTTAAGAATTAGGATAATAAGGTTAACTGTACTGGGGTTCTGCAGTACTAGCAAGACGTCCCTGCCTAAAAAGTAAGAACATTTGTCTAACAATGACGAAATGGTTTCTGGCACAAGAGCCTTCACACCCACACTTCTTTTGACTAGCTGCCAGAAACTAAACTTCAGCTTCATCCAAGCTATACAGTAGTGAAAAAGTCATTGTACCTAAACTGCTGAAATCGATCAAATGCTGTTGAAAAACAAGCATGGCCTATAAAACCAAGACAGAGGAATCTCTTTATATTACTGCAAACAACACCAGCTAATCATATTATTTTCAATCAGTGGTTTGGGTAAGCTGTTGAGTCTTCAGAATGCTTAGAGCCCCCAGGGAAACAAAAGCTGCCTAACACCATTCCAGAAATAAAAATGGCACACTGTGGATCGTTAAAATTCAAATTTTAACTTTGACAACATGCTGTTAAGAAAGTCTAATTGAAAAGGTGTCACCCATTACTAGTTATGCATCCAGCATTATCAGGTCAACCGCTTGATCAAAGTAACGTCTACACATTTTCCATCATGAGTATTGAACACATTTAGCTGAACACACCACTCTTTCCAAAAATACTTTCATACTATGCACTGTGCCTCAGTACTGACAATCACTTCATAAATGCATTTAAATGAAAAGGAAATTGGTTTGAGTCTGAAATATTAAAATTAAGGGTCTTTTCTTTTATTACAAACAGACACAAATATTACATAAAAAGAATGCAAGATGTTTTGGATCCAGATTTATTGATTGATGAAAATGTACACACAAAGTTTAACGGTAGGACTTCTGGTAGCGAGCACGGGCACCAGGTCCACCGAACTTCTTGGACTCGCAGCGACGGGGATCAGCAACTAGCAGGGTCCTGTCATACTGGATAAGGATGTCCTTGATTTCCTTCTTTGAAGCCTCATCCACATCTACGAAAGAAGAGAACCATGTTGACAAGATGTCAGGCACATCAAGGTCTGGGACACAAAGGGATATCCAAAATGCTGTGCATTAAACAAAGTGTCCTCTCATTCATCAATTTAATGTTAATTGAAACGCCTTTCAGCCAGAACATTTCTGAAGCCCCACACATCTTAAAACTCACAACATTGAAAACTGGCTTGTATAGTCACTGGTTCAGAACCAAATCCAAGTTAATGGGAAAGTATCACTAGACCCCCTACACAACACTAGGAGAGACGAAGACAACACTGAGACATACGTCATTAATCTGCCCGTGAACACAAATTCAGAACCCAAAAGGCAAATCAGTGGGTAATCCCATATTTATAACACTCTCTCAGAATTCCTGATCTGCACAAAGTAAAAAAACATCTAAGCCACCAAATTAATGAAAAAGTACTCTGATGCAAGGAATTAGGTGGGCAACGTTTAGAAAAGAACCTATTAGTTTCCCGATACAAATAACTACCAGATGTTTGCTGACCAACACGCAGTTTTTTACATGGTCATTTTGAGAATCTTGGGATGCACTTAATGTGAATTTTAGTTTGTAACTTACAAAGAATGTAATGGTAACTCCGTGCTAAAACCAAAAAACTTACACTTCTGGTAGTACGCAACCAGGGATTTGGATATGGCTTGACGGATGGCTGTGAAGGAAAAAGAAAAAACAAATTCAGCAAAATGAAATCATCCAGTGTCATGAATTCTATACATTTATCAAAAGGCTAATCACTCAATCAAAAACGAGAAGTTCCTGCCTGTATATGTACAGTAGCTAAGGATCTGCGCCTGTGGCTGGAAGGTTGCCGGTTCAAATCCGGAGGCCGGCAGAGGAATCCTACTCATTGGGCCCCTGAGAAAGGCCCTTAACCCCAGCTGCTCCAGGGGCGCCGTACAATGGCAGACCCTGCGCTCTGACGCCAAGCTTCTCTCCCTGTCTGTGTCTCATGGACAGCAAGCTGGGGTATGCGAAAAGATCATTCCTAATGCAAGAAATTGTCTAGGGCTAATAAAGTGATGTTATGTTGTTATATGGTGGTCATGTATGTTTGTCTGACAGGCAGCCACCATGATCCATTTTTTATCTCTGGTGGGCAGGACTATGTTGTACTCTTTCTGAATCCTGATCTCTTCCATAAACTTCACTTTAGTGACTACATGAAGGAGGAATAGCATAAACAAATATCGACAAGCAACCAGCACAAATTCAGTCTACTGTTCATTCAGGTAACTTCATTTTAAACCTGTGGTCCTACAGAAGCAGCAATAATCAACACTGGATCCTGACCCTTAAAATTACAAGTCCCAGATAATACTGAAAAGGGTCTCATTAATGATTGTCACTGAACTGCATCGGGTAACAGAACCACAAAACGTCATTTATACTGCCAATACAGAACCTTAGGGAACAAAGTAACAGTGCAAAACACAAAAACGTCTTAATAAAAAAATTGTGCATAAGACAATACATCTAAATCAATATATTTTCTGGTGTTCAGCTAGTTCACCATTCATCTTGAATTAGATGTGATATTACAAATGTATCAGAATTAAGCAAACAGCAATGCTGAACTTTTAAGAACAAAAAGCAAGCTTGCATTACCATAGATCTGTGCAACATGACCACCACCCTTCACACGAACTCTGATATCAACACCAGCAAAGCGCTCCTTGCCCAGGAGAAGAACTGGCTCCAACAGCTGAAAAGAAAACCAGTTAACATTACAATGCCAATGGATTCACCATACCTTGAATACAAGTAATTCCAGTACCAATTTACTAATACTAATGTTTAGAAAATAAATTTTTAAATCGCATAAATGCGAAAAATTAACACCCAGGGTTAACTCCTATTAATGCTAGTATCCATTTTTATATCTTAGTTGACAAGAGCAGTTATAGCAAAGCATCTTGCTCAAAAGATACAGCTATGTCTGGAGCAGGAATAATCTCCCTTACAGTTACAGGCCCAGAGCACGAATTACTACTCTACGATGCCCCATGAGCCCAGGTTCACTGGGTGAATAAAAATCTGCTTCATACACAGATAAAAGAAACTGAATTTGACAGATAGCTCCCTGCCAGGTGCGTGTACGCAGTATGATCCAAGGCTTCAATACAAGCTGTAAGTGGGCCAAAATACAGCTGGTGCTAAAACAACACTCTTACCTTGTACTGGAGAGTCCTTGGCTCGATCATTTCCAGAGGTCTGCCATTCACCTTGATGAGGCCATTACCCCTCTTACAGTGAGCGACAGCAGTGGCTGTTTTCTGTTGGGAGGGGGACGGGGACGTTACAACTTACTTCAAACTAAAGTAAACATTTAATAAATGAATCATATAAATGCTATTTAAATGGGTCCATTTCCGCATTGTATAATATTCTAAGTAATTGTTTTAAACCCTATTACTTCCTAAAACACTTTAAAATGAAAATAGAGTAACGTTGTACAAATTAGGCCCGGGAAGGTGCTACACAAAACGACCACAATATGACCGATGTGCCGTTAATTTATTTCACCAAGAGCGATACAGTACATCAGGGTTCCTAATTTTTAACCTCCTCATCCACGGGATATTAGATGTCTTCCTAAAACATCCGGTTCCAATTCTACAAATCTGCTCGGTATAGATTCTGATTACCGTACAGAGATCGAAAACCTGAATTAATCAAAAGATGAAATACCGAATCCTAATGAATTCCAGACCTGTTACACGATGTAGATGACCAGACTTGCTTCCACGATGATATATACTTCTAATGGTTCTGTGCTCACACTCGGCGGATTACCGAGGTATAAAAAAATACAACCCAATGTATTGTTTTTTTTAAAAAAAAAACGTCTTTGGATCAAACTGTGGCAGAAGTGTAAACTATCTGCCACACAATGCTGCTTACAGAAGACGATCCCTTCTAGTTACAACATGGCAAGGCCGCAGACAAACTTCACGTTATTACCATGTTTTCTAACAACATAACGTAGCTCAAGTTATTGGCGACACATACCACTTGAGCTGATATAAAGTAAATATGCAGATTTTGTAATTGATGTACAATATTACAGTAATTTTCAATCGGTGTGGGTGCCTAGCGAAGAGATCCTCATTACACACGTGTAAGGAATAAACTAATTTTTCACTCACTTTACGTCCAAAAACCTGGACGGACTGCAGGGGACCTTTAGCCGGCATGTTCCTAAAAGAAATAACACATAAACGTTATTTTTCACTTATTTAGACTCAGAAACGGGATGTTTTAACAGAGCGCTCAATCGGCCATACCAGGTTATGATGCAGAGTCGCAGGAAAAGACCGAGCGGGTTTCACACCCCACACATCACGGGCTGCAGCGCGACATTGCCGTATTACTTTACGGCAAGGGGGGGGGGGGGCATTAGTACGACACTTGTGGACTTTTTCCGTCAAGGGATTTATCTGCCTTTCAGGTTGTGCCTTGATACAACAGACGAAGTTATCAAAATCTTAAGATTTTTTAGAATATCAAAATATGGAACTGTAAAAGGCAACACGGTGCAAAGGTCTGTGTATAAGCTTTCATGATAATGTGGTATAATAACCGAAGCAATATACTTAACACTATAAGACATATTACACTCCTCCACAGTTAATTTTGCGAACATTTGAGTTCATACAATGTAATGCAATGTTTTAAAAGTGAAATCTAGAATTTTTGGAAAATATAATTTAAGTGTACTGAATCATCTTTTAAAATCCCCAGATGACATTATACCTAAGCAACATTTTAGCCTGTTTAAAACGTCTAGTCCTACTTGCAGTGAGAAAATGATGGTTGTGTTCGTGTGCTGTCCAATAACTCGGTGGGTAGCAGTATTTTACCTATTTCAAATAATAGCAATTTGAAATAAGATTTCCAAAAAACAGGTTTGGCATTATTATATCAAGTATTCGAAACATAAATCACCCGTAATCACGCACTCTACCTTACCTGAAAACCAACCCAACAGTACCATAAATGGGGACACGAGTATTGCATGTAAAATGCAGTCGAAAACATATTTGCCACTAGGTGGAGATATATTTCAATAACTTCAAAATAAGAATTACTGATTGAAAAGTGTGCATAGATGTTTTACTGTATGTACAGTACAAGGATCTGAGAAAAATACGTATTTTTAGAAAATTCGTAACTAAATAATCCTCGTTCATGGACAGTGAAATGTTTCCCACTTTGCAGATGGCCATGAACCCTCTGTAACTTAATGTACTGTATATCTAATTGCAGGGGTTTCAGAAGCACCATCTACTGTATGTATTATCACAGCTTTTCCGGTGAGCGATGTGTTCACGAAGGTGTGTTCCTTTTCCTTGTGATTAATTTCTCAAAAATGAGTTTTGTACTGTATATACAACATATGAATGCTATGCACAATCTTTTCTTGCTATCTGACTGCCCGTGGAACAACATTAAAACGTGAACCAGAAGAAGCAGAAAGGAAACTAGGGAAATTACTTTTAAAACTGAGAAAAGGAAGCACTGTTTTACAGTGTTATAGGATTCTGGAACAAAATACCCAGTAATTTTATTGACAATATCCTAGCTTCGTTTTGGAAATGACAGGATGAGATCCTTGGATCAATAATACTACTACTACTACTACTACTACTACTACTACTACTAATAATAATAATAATAATAATAATAATAATAATTCCTTTCACTTACATAGTAATTTTCTGGACACTATACTAAAAGCCCTTTTACAGGTAATGAGGACACCCCTCCACCACCACCAATATGCAGGCCCAACTGGATGATGCCACAGCAGCCAGAGTGCGCCAGTACGCTCACCACACACCAGCTATCAGTGGGGAGGTCAGTTCAGTTTGGCAGCTGCGTCGGCATGCATAGGCTGCAAAGGAACAAGTAATAGGTTTATTCCATGCTGAAAAAAAGAAGAAAGAAAACACAAGGTTTCGGCCGTGGAGCCTTCTTCACCTGAAGAAGGCTCCACGGCTGAAACGTTGTGTTTTCTTTCTTCTTTTTTTCAGAGTGAAGAACCCAATTCATAGATGGAGATTATTAGGAGACCAGTACTTGTAAAGGCTAATAGAAAATTTGGCTAGGACACCAGGGTAAGACTCCTACTCTTTTCATTCAAGAAACTCCCTGGGATTGTTAATGACCACAGTCAGAACCTCAGTTTTATATTTCATCTGAAGGACAGCACCATTTTACAGCATAGTGTCCCGTCACTATACTGGGGCATTAGGACCTACACAGACCACAGGGTGAGCACCCACTACTGGCCCCACTAACACCTCGTTTTCCCCAGGAGGTCTCTAAGCTGTGTACTGACCAGGCTCATACAGTACCTGCTTAGCTTCAGTGGGTTGCTAGTTGCAAGTTGCAGGGTGCTGTGCTACAGATCAGCTACTACCACATTAACAAACTAGCTGGGCTTAAGGCCTTCACTCTTTTATAACCTTTTTTATGTTCTGGTGTTCAGTACCTTCCTTTACCTGGTGTAAACTGCAGACTCCCCTAATCATCTCTCAGAGTCCGGAATCCAGCAACTGTTCTATGTGTCCTTGAGTTATAAACAGTTATAAGGGGTACATTGATTCAATCAAGGCTTGACTGGACCACTAAATCTCTTCTCCAAAGCGTTCAGCTGCTGATGTTTTAAAGAGAATCAGAAAAACTGGGGATTCTGAACCCTGAAGTCCAGAGTTAGGAAACTGTGGTGTAAACAGTCTTTAATGAGTAATAGATAAGCTGATTGATGAGTATTACATAAGATGAAAAGGTATCTATGTTGCATAGCACAGATTTTTATATGTTACTCTGCTGTTTTCTAATGTTTACCATCAAAACAAATTGAGTGTCTTAGATAAAGAGATAGTGCTTCTGTTTAAGATCGTTGCAATCACTTAGCACTGCTTTGTTTTAACCTTGTTTCACTCATCACACTGGGATAACCACGGAGGTTTTGGCCTGAACTTGATAAGTACAAAGACAGCCTGCCCCTGAGAGTGCTTGTTCTCTCTGACATGCAGCAAATGAAGAGACACAGCTGCTCCTCAAATGACTGATGAATAATAAAGTGTGTCTACACATATTTCTGTTGGCCCTGCTTATTGCCATATTTGGGTAAGACACCCTTTACAGTTTCTTCTCTAAGGCTCTCTACAAGGTCTTAATGGTTAATGTATGACACACTTTCTTAACTCTGTTACATATAAATAGTGTTCAAAAAGTGTCACAGAAGTTTATTTTTTATCTGACTACAACTCTTGCTTGCTGTAATTGTGAAAACTAAAAACAGCAAAGGATAAAACAAGATAGATACATACTTTATTAATCCTGTGAGGGGAATTGCAGTGCAACAGCAGCCAGGCACAATCAACACAGCACAGTACAATGTAATAATACAGAACATACCAAAATAAACCAGAATGTACAGTGTCCAAAGAAGACGTATTGCACAGTATAGATATATTGAACAATCCACAAGCATATTACACAAGTGTAGATATATATTACAGAATTATAGATCACTTGCAAATTCACTTCCATTTATTGCACACCCGTTGTAAACAGAACAGCAGTTGTAAACAGAAGATTCAGGTTTAGCCCCAAAACAGGCCAATGTTGACAAAAATGTCTCCCTTTTTTTTCTTCTGACTTGTTAGCGGAAACTGGCAGTAGAAGATATCAATGGAAGCTCACTCTGATGTCGCTATATACAAAGCAATTATGTGAATAGTGTGAAGACTACACAGAACCTTAGTCTTACTTTCAAATTTGAAAGAAAATAATTTCAATCCGAGAGATTTTGTCTAGCAGCACCTTACTGCTGTGTATTTACTCTTCAAAATTTATGAGAACCGTATGATTTCTCAAAATAATAAATAACTGCGAGAAATAGATGTTTGTACAATTTACTATGTTCCTTAGTGTTGGGTGTATAGTGGTATTTGGAAGAAAATGAGCCCAAATAAACCATAACACCAGAATTCTAGTAAAAGAAGTGTCCTCCCTGTACTTGAATTGTACCATTATTTTCACAGCCTGGGGCGGACTGAGGGACATTTATAAAGTTTGCAATGTACTATGAGAGAAAAGGAAATGGGGCACGAAGATGTGTGTAGATTGCATCCTGGTAAGGACAAATACTGCTTTACTCTAATGGTGCTACGAAGTCCTGGAGTTTTTTTTTTTTCTTTTTCTTGTGTTTTACTTATGCCGACCACAAGATGGAGTCCCGGTTCCTATATATGATCACATGTCCTAGTAGCGAGATGTCTGTATGGGACCAAGTTATCAGGAGAAATACTGTACGAATGTTTAAATGCATGTTATTCGATGTGTGTGATTTAGTTGTATATGGAACATAGCCATGCCAAACTGAAAAGCTCATAATGGCTAATAAATAAATATCAAATTGCATTTTTTCTTGCATTGAATCTTTTGGAGTTTGCGAGTTTCCTGCAATATTACCGATCATGTAGTTGTTTTTAAAGGATACAAAAGAATGTATTAGTCTCTATAAGTAAAGAACTCTTTTTTTGGAAGAACTAAACTCCAGACAAACTTTTTGGGGGCATAGCAATTGCATATTATCAATTTATACATTGGGCCACATTTGACCTTTATTCATTGTTTTTTTTAAGTACCCAGCCTAATGAAGAAATTAAGATTTTCTTCATCTTCTTAACACAGGACCTCCTGAGTTTCATTCCTTACACTCTTCTGCACTGTATGCTATCATATTAGACTTTGAAATGACTACCATAGCTCAGCACCTCAGAGGAGCATCTATTTTCTGAACTTAGTCAACCCGTGATGACAGTAGGATGATATTGTATGATATTTATATTCATGTTATACTGTAGAAGAACCATAAACTGTTAACATACTTCAAAGACATCCCTTTTCCACTACACAGTATTTAGCACCATTTGTCCTGCATTAATTTAATTAAAAAAAAGAAAATGCAGAGAGTATCGCTGAAACACTGCATTTTGTCACACTGTTCGGATACTAACGTAAACAGATTCTGTCTGCTATTTTGCAGACTCTCTTTCGTTATGTGAGCAAAAAGATTCTACTTGTTCCAATTGTGCATACTGGACTAGCTTCTCTGAGTGCTTTCCTGTCTTATGTAAATCACGATACATCATTTCTTTTTGGCTACGCTTCTTTCTTTCCACATAAAGACGTTCATTATTGTCCTGGTAAATGTTCTTGCACTGCAGTACAGTGAAAGTGGGGAACTAAAAGGGAAAGAAATAATGTTTCCGATTCAGTTCATAAGCCTGTCTCCAATAAAGTAGATTTTAAAAGCATTATAT